ATATATATATATATATATATATATATATATATATATTAGAAGTAGAATTCTTTATTGGTCAAGTGTAATTGGACACACAAGGAATTTGTCTTGGTGCAAGTACTCTCAGTATACATAAAAGAAAAGATACATTCGTCAAGAGTCAGGAATCATGAGGTACAACACTTAATGATAGTCATTAGGGTACAATAAGCAATCAAATCACACTAGGAAACAGTCAATATATAATATATATAAATCAATATATATAAATCGTAAGGATACAAGCAACAAAGTTACAGTCATACAATCACAAGTGGGAGGGGATGGGTGATAAGGGATGATAAGATTATAGTAGTGCAGACTTTGTAAATAGTTGAACAGTGTTGAGGGAATTATTTGTTTAGCAGAGTGATGGTTTTCGGGGGAAAACTGTTCTTGTATCTAGGTGCTCTGGTGTGCAGTGCTCTGTAGCATCATTTTGAGGGAAGGGGTTAAAACAGTTTATGTCCGGGATGTGAGGGGTCTGTAAATATTTTCACAGCCCTCTTTTTGACTCGTGCAGTATACAGGTCCTTGATTGAAGGCAGGTGGGTAGTAATTGTTTTTTCTGCAGTCTTAATTATCTTCTAAAGTCTGTGTCTGTCCTGTTGGGTTGCAGAACCAAACCAGACAGTTATAGAGGTGCAGATGATAGACTCAATAATTCCTCTGTAGAACTGTATCAGCAGCTCCTTGGGCAGTTTGAGCTTTCTGAGTTGGCGCAGAAAGAACGTTCTTTGTTGTGCTTTTTTGATGACGTTTTTGATGTTAGGTGTCCATTTTAGGTCATGTGATATAGTAGAACCTAGAAATTTGAAGGTCTCTCCTGTTGATACTGTGTTGTCTAGTATTGTAACAGGTGGTAGTATGGGAGGGTTTCTTCTAAAGTCTACCACCATTTCTACGGTTTTGAGTGTGTTCAGTTCCAGATTGTTCCAGTTATACCACGAGGCAAGTTGTACAACCTCATGTCTGTATGCAGATTCGTCACTGTCTCGAAAGAGACCAATCACTGTTGTGTTATCAGAAAACTTCAGTATTTTAACAGATGGATCATTTGAGATGCAGTCATTGGTATATAGGGAAAAGTGGAGAAAGCACACAGCCTTGGGGGGGGGGGGGGGGCTGTGCTAATTGTACAGGTATCAGATGTAATTCTGCCTAGCTTTACCTGCTGCTTCCTGTCTGTTAGGAAGCTTATGACCCACTTGCAAGTGTGTTCAGGTACCGCTAGTTGGTTTAATTTACTTAGAAGAATGTCTGGTATTGAATGCTGAACTTAAGTCTACAAAGAGGACCCTTGTGTAGGTATTTGGAGATTCAAGGTATTGTAGGATGTAGTGCAGAACAATACTAACAGCATCATCTGTCGATCTATTTGCTCGGTATGCAAACTGCATGGGATCTAACAGCAGATCCGTGATGGTTTTCAGGTGGGACAGCACAAGCCTTTCAAAGATTTTCATGACTACAGATCTTAGAGCAATGGGTCTGTAGTAATTCAGTTCCTTGATGGAGGGTTTCTTTGGCACTGGGATGATAGTAGAGCGTTTGAAGCAGGAAGGAACATAGCACATCTCTAGTGATCTATTGACGATTCGGGTGAAGATGGGGGCCAATTGGTCAGCACAGACTTTTAAGCAAAAAGAAGTTATCTTGTCTGGCATTGGTGCTTTTCCTGGCTTTTGTCTGTAAAGATCTTACATTTCTTTGTCTGTGATCATGAGAGGTTGTGAACCCAAAGGTTGGGGTCAGTTGCAGGAGGCCTGGCTGTTATTGGTGTGTTTGAGATGGAAGTTGTGGAGATAGATGGCTGTAGTTTCCTTTCAAACCTGCAGTAAAACATATTCAGCTCATTTGCTAGTTGTTGCTTTCCTTCTGCCTGAGAAGGAGGTTTGCTGTTGCCGGTGAGGCTTTTAAGAGTTTTCCACATGTTTGCTGGTTCATTTGTTGAGAATTGATTCTTTAACTTTTCAGAGTCGCTTCTTTTTGCTGCTCTGATCTCTCTTAATATGTTTCTGGCCTGATTGTATAGCACTCTATCACCTTTTCTGTAGGCTTCCTCTTTGGAATGACATAGCTGCTTAAGTGTAGCTGTGAACCAAGGTTTATTGTCACTATGTATTTGCAGGGTCCTTGTTGGTACACATAAGTCTTTGCAGAAGCTAACATATGATGTTACAGTATCTGTGAGCTCATCTAGGTCTGCAGAGGTATCTTCAAAAACATTCCAATCAGTGCAATCAAGGCAAACCTGGAGCTTCATCTTTGCCTCATCAGACCAAGTCCTCACTGATTTAATTGTTGGTTTCACATATACATATACAATTAGTCCTCGACTTACAATTCATTTAGTGATTGTTCAAAGTTACAATGGTACTGAAAAAAGGGACTTATGACTATTTTTCAAACTTACGATCATTGCAGTATCCCCACGGTCACATGATTACAATTCAGAAGCTTGGCCATTGATTCATAATTGTGACAGTCACAAAGTCCTGGGATTATGTGATCCACCTTTTGCGACTTTCTGACAAGCAAAGTCAATGAGGAAGCTGGATGCACTTAACAACCCGTGTTATTAACTTAATGACTGCAGCAATTCACTTAAGAAACTGTAGCAAGAATAGTAGTAAAATAGGGCAAAGCTCCCTTAACAAATGTCTTGCTTAACAACATAAATATTGGGCTCAATTGTAGTTGTAAGTCGAGGACTACCTGTACACGTACAATATATATATATACGTGTATGTATACACACACAAACAGACACACTTATCATATATACATATACACCTATTATAATAATTAGTATTATACTAGTTGGCATACACTATGTACAAATTCAATTCTACCAGTATCACCAAGCAGGCCACGAAAGTAAGGTATCAATTTTGCCAACTGAAAAAAAGAATACTCCAAATATTAACTAGTCAGTAACTAATATGCTGCCACCTTTTCTGTTGCCAAACCAATGTGTCTGAAGTGTTTGCTGTTCCTTGCTGCTTGTTATTTTATGGTTGTTAATCTTATTACTCTAAGCAGGCTGTAATCCATATAATCTCCTGAATGAAGTGGTATGTAAGTCTCAGTAAATAAAAGCAGAGAGCCTGGTATAGGATGGTTAAAGGAACCAAGCTGAAAATAACCATAAATTCTAGTCCCCAATAGGCACAAAGTCAGCTGCATGACCTTGGGCCAGCCTATCTGTCAATTCTCGGAAGAAGGCAATGGCAAACCATTTTCCAAAATCTTGCCAGGACTTGTACAGGCAGTGGCCAGTAGTCAAAATAACTCAAACAGAAAAATAATAGTAATAACAACAATAAAATAAGCTTTTTTTTTTAAAAGGAATAATAGCACAGAGATAATTCTGAGTGTCAGAAGAGGAACAGCTTGTTATTATTCTTGTATTTTTACTCCCAAAGAAAAGAATAGGAATCTATGGTATTTTCCCTTCAGGTAAAAGAAAAAAAACCTACTTGCCCTGGCTTGTTCATAGTCTGAGTTGGGGACATTGGCACTATTCACGCAGTTGCCTCAATATTTCAAGCTGTTCCTTCTGAGCATATTCAGGGGCACAGGAATCTGATGACGGTTATGTGAATAAAATGGAGCATTCTGGTGCGGGGGGGGGGGGGGGGAGGAAAGGCTTGGCTGAAATAAATTCTGAACAGGAATACTGCATACAATTACAAGTGGACCGACCCAGGCCCATTTGGATTTTAATGAAAAGGAGCTAAATGTTAAAAAGTAAATCAATAATCAATCCATCAGTCAATCAGGGAAGAATCCAAATAGCTAAGGTCAAATTATTTCTGATGCAATGACAATAAGATGAAAAGCTTTGTGTTAAAAAAAAAAAAAAAAGGATAAGGAAGGGGGAAAGGGGCGGGGGGGGGGGCGGGGGGGGAGTCAAGCTAATATTTCTGTCATTCATTCATTAGTTCACTAACCTCCAGCAACTGAACCAAGGGCAAATCTGTATGCAGATTCTGCTATCTGAATGAGAACAGGTCGAGCCACATCAGTTGGAGCTTGCTGCAAGATTTCAAATTTAGAGAAAAGATTTGGGTTAGTGAAAGGGAAGAGGAGGAGGAAGAGGAGAAGGAATAGAAGGAGAAGAAGGAGAAAAGTCAGATTAATATAGAATATATAAGCAATATTTTAACAGCAAAAAAGATACAAAGACAAACATTTCATCCTAAAATGTACCATTCTTGAACCATTGAGACATGCTGAGGTTCAGTAAGGTGGCTACAACATGGACTATCAAGCTGGCTTGAGGTGCTAACGCAATTTATGTTTATTTCATTTGGTGTAAAAAGTAAGCATTGTTCAACTGAAGCCAAAGTGGCCTTGTCCCCATAATTATTGCTAATTTTACAGACAAACTCTTTCAAGTTTGGGGCTATTTGCACCTAAAAGAAAATCCAACATGTCCATTATCTCTGTATTCCATTTACTATATATCTGATTTGCTTGAAAAGTTTTTTCCATAAAAATAAGTCAAAACTTGGGGCATGATTGGAAATAAATGATTTTCCTCCACTAATTTTCATTATTTGGTTTGTGCAGCTCTGGGAATGTATGGGGAAAGAGTTTTAAAATCTGCAAGGAACTTAAGGGAACAGTGCTATGAAAAGGTAGGAGGAACGAGGTAGTTTAAAAGAGTTGTAAGGGACCTTGGAGATCTTCTAGTCCAACCCCCTGCTCAGGCAGGAAACCCTATACCATGTCAGACAAATAGTTGTCCAAACTCTTCTTAAAAACTTCCAGTTTTGGAGCATCCATAACTTCTAAAGGCAAGTTATTCTACTGATTAATTATTCTAACTGTCAGAAAACCTTAGTTCTAGGTTGCTTCTGTGCTTGAATAGTTTTCATCCATTGCTTCTTGTCCTGTCTTCAGGACAACAATTTCACAAAAGAAATTTAATGCAATTTCTTAAATTAAACTAATCATATATTTATTATTTATTTATATAGCCACCCATCTTATTGAAAGTGGCAGTCCACAACAATAAGATAAAAATAACAATATAAAAAACTGCAAATATAAAAATTCATATTAATGAATAGCCTACAAATCAAAGATAGCAATCCTAGACAACAAGAAGGATAAAAATGTCCACCTCAACAGTTGAGCCATCTCAAGAAATCTTAGTTTATTGTTCAGTTTATTACAGGTTGGCCAGTTATTTAATCTTAATCAGAAACAAGACTTTAACATTAGAATTTGCCTGTAACCAATAAAAACTGCTTTAAAATTGGTGAAATTAATAAAGTAATTTGACTTACACTATTAAAATGCTTTTTAAAGATTTATAAACATATTAGTTGAAATCCATATCAGTGAAATTCCAATTAGATCCAGAATATTACATGTGTTATTTTTTTAAAGTTTGTTTTTGTTGCATAAAATTCTGACATTTAATTTTCACAGTCAGGCAAAAGGAAGTTGTTTTACACTTGCTTCATCTATCTTGCCCTGTCTTCATTGACTAAGAGTGGTTTCTAAGTTCCAGATGGGCATTATTTCTAACTTTGTGTGGAGAAACCATGCAAAATTGGCATATCTGTCAAACTCTATTTTATTCAGGGTCATATTTTTCCAACATATTCATCAAATTTTCTGCAACATCTATGTTACTATTTTCTACGTACAAATTTTCAGTATGCATTTTCATGTGTACTTTCTGACATATGCTTAATCTTGCGTGCAGATTTCTCAGCATACCCATTTTTTGCATATAATTTTTAATTTTTCCCGATAAAATGCCTTCTCTGTACTCTAGAAAGAGTACAGAGAAGAGCAACCAGGATGATTAGGGGACTGGAGACTAAAACATATGAAGAACAGTTACAGGAACTGGCCTTGTCTAGTCTAGTAAAGAGAAGGACCATGGGAGACATGATAGCAGTCTTCCAATATCTGAGGGGCTGCCACAGAGAGGAAAGGGTCAAGCTATTTTCTAAAGCACCTGTAGGCCAGACAAGGAATAATGGATGGAAACTAAGCAAGGAGATATTTAACCTGGAAATAAGGAGAACAGTGAGAACAATCAACGGTGAGAACAATCAACCAATGGAACAGCTTGCCCTCGGAAGTTGTGGGAGCGCCATTACTTGAGATTTTCAAGAAGAGATTGGACTGCCATTTGTCAGAAATGGTGTAGGGTCTCCCGCTTGGGTAGGGGGTTGGACCAGATGACCTACAAGGTCCCTTCCAACTCTGATTATCTGTTATCTGTTATCTTATCCTTACATCACCTATGTATTTTTAGTTTTAGAAAAATGCATTGCAATATTCAGAAAAAGTATAACTATCAAAGTATGATGTTGTGGTTTGGTTCTAGGATCTGTATAGGTTTGGGAAGTTCAAATAAGTTGAAATCATATAAATTTCTTACCTATTTTCACATATAAAGCTTCCCAGGAGGTATGGCTGGGGAAGACGATGAAAAATCCCCCTGAGTATGTAAAGCCTTTGTTAGGCTTAGAACGTTTTCCCAGATTATAGGAACATTCCATTTGTAGCTTATGCTATGTAGTTTGTAATGCATTTTTTGTTGTTATTTTGAATCTAAGTTGATCTCTCTCTCTCTCTCACACACACACACACACAAAATTCTCTATTCAGGAGGCCTCACAGTGCCAGCTTCAAGGATTAGTAACATACATAGAAAATTTTGATGTCACAAGAAAGAAATATTGGATCTACAACCTTTCATGAATAGAATATTTATAGAGTTGGACATTTACAAAATACTTTGGAAATCATGGAATTAGGGACTAGAATATACCTTGGAGATGATATGTCTCATTTTTCTCATAGTACAATCCCCAAACGTGGCTGCCAGACCTCCCTTTAAATATGCCCATCATATGGGAATCTACCAAGTTCTCAGGCTCCCCTTAATTCTCTCCTCTCCGTGTTATATGTTTTTAATTAGTTGGCTGATTGGTTGGTAGTTTTCAGTTTTCTTATCATCCTCGTAATTCTTCTTTAGCTTTCTGATATATTTGTGTATAACCCTAGAACCAGACAAGACTGGATAGGGGAAACCCTTATTTTTACCCTTATAACTAATACTGATTAGGCTGGTGCTATTATTTTTTGAAAAATGGACGCTGAAGGATTGATAGTGCAGCTTAATTTGTCTTATTTTTTTATATCAGCCACATCTCACCTTTGGCTCACAGTCATCATGTGATCTACTCAGACCAATTCTCTTGCAGTAAACTTGCATTCTTGGCATCTAAATGCAGAAGTTTACCTGTATCTCCATTGAATGTCATTTCTGCCCCTATTACAATTCTTTAGAATATTGATTCTATTATTATCTATTACCATTTCTCCTTGCTTTATATCATTCTCAAGTTTAGGAAATAGCACAAGACTCAGTAAGGAATCCTTATATTTTCTACTAATGATGATGAGACAAAAAATGAAATATTTTGAGGACAGTAACTTCAACATTGTTGAACCAGCTAATATAGGAGTATCCAACCAATATGCTACCATTTTGTCAACAGGATGTCATGGGATATTTTGCAGTAACTTTTAGATACTCCCTTGCTCCCAATCCATTATTGCTTCTATTATTGACAAAGGTACATTCTAAAATTATTTTTAGCATTTAATTCATTGTGAATCTTTACATTTAATTATTTCTTATTATAGCTTACAGAGGGGCTGAAAAAATGGAAAAGATGGTAGAAGGCAAGTCAATAAAAATTGTCACAAAGCCCACAACTGAGCCCAGGTAGACAAAAACTTTCCTTAAATTAGAAATGAGAAAAATTCCTAATATGATTTTGAAGATTCTGTATTTACCCCAAGGGAGCATTAAAATACATATCAATCCAGGCTAGTATTACTTTGTTTTGGCACTTTTTTTAGTTAATATGTTCCTTCTATACCCCATACATGTTCCTTTTGAATTTCAATTTATCAGGAAACTCCTTGTATTGTACATCATGGCTTTTAAGTGGAAATACCAAAGACTGTGCCCTCAAATTCAATATTTGTCCCACTGGTCCCAAACTTCTTTTGCCTTTCACAATTCCCAGCTACTGAATTCTGTCCAACCCTAGTGATATCTATAGCAGTTTTCAATATGGGCTCCATTTAATATCTCTAGTCTTTAATCTTTGGGTAATCTTTCATACAGGTTTTCTGAGTAAATTGTAAAAAACCATTCTCCTATCATACTCACTTCTGAAGCAAAGCTAAAAATATACTGTTGTTGTAGGGTGATTTTGGGAGGGAGGAGGCAGCCAAGTAAGGAGGGCCTGGCTCAAGGCCTATTACACCCAAAAATGTAGCCTATATCAACTCATTGTGGTCAAACTGGCGTCTGTGCTCAGACTCAGAGCAGGGAGGGTGGGGGAACCTTCCAAGCTCTCAACATACAGAATTTGGTTTGACTTAAGTGATAGCTTTAGAAAAACAGAACTACACCCAGGTCTGTGTCAGTTTTCAATATATATAGCAGACCAATATAAAAATTTAGAAGTTGGCAAAGACATTTTCATTGTCTTTTGCATCATATCATCTCTATAAAAATACAAATTAAGATTTCAGAAAAAAATCATATGATCTTAAATTATTGTAAACTAGTTTTGAGGGAGTATACAAAATGCCAAAATCGTACATAAATTTACCTATAAATTTGTTTCATGGTTGAGTGATACTATTTCAATGAAATAGAACTACTCAGTTTTATATAATCCACAAAAACAATAGGTATAGTTACACTACAACAGAGTCTGAACTTTACATAAGAAAGGACTGCACAAGGTAAAAATAATATCTGCATCATCCTTTTGCATCTTGTGTTACCTGTCTCTGAGCCTCAACAAGATTGTAGGGTAAAGTTCCTTCTTCCAAAGGTGCAATTCTTTCAATATCAGCCATTGTCATACGTCTGGAAAAACAAGCAATCAAAAAAATTAATTTTGTATCAACTATTATCAAAAAATAAAATACCTGCAATAGTGGGCGGTATTTTGTTCAACCATACCGTTTCATATTTTTCTTCCACAGCAAAGAAAAGGGTAATTTCAACTTACCCCCGTGGCTCATATAAATCTGCTAACTGGAACAAGATGTCAACTTCCATGGGTGTAACCTGGCCAAATTTCTGAGCTGCCAGAACAAACTCCTCTGCAACAGAAGAAGGGGTTGGGGTGTGGAATATAGAAGGGAAAACTAATCAAACAACAAGGAGACCAATCCACAAAGGTCCCAAGAATCACCAACATTTAGCATGAAACCAATATGCTATAAAAGAAGGGGAGGGAAATACCACAAATGGTGTGCCTGCCACTGTGTAAATGTATGTTTAAATACTCTATCCATCGTGCAAAAAAGAAAAACAGTCTGCCTTTACAGCTTAGTGCTAACAGCAGGATTTAGGATATTTGACATACGGTATCAATCAGTTGTGGGCCAGAATGGAAAAAGAGAGAGAGAGAGAAGAGAAAGAGACAGATATGTGGAACGTTGCTTCCATGTGCGTCCCAGTAGGTTATATTAATGGAGGTTTGGCACTACAGAGGGAGTTCTCTATAAAAGCGGTTAGACAGAGCTGATAACATCTTGTTCCAGGCTTGTAGATCAGCTTACTGCAATGCCAGTACAACTTTATGGAATTCTTTAACAATCCTTGAAGGTCACTTTAATAGGCTGCCAATTTGGCATCAACCCCAGGAAGTTTTTATACTTGAAAAACATATTTGCATTCACTGTTCACTCGTTGTGCAGCCCTATTTAAGAACTATGATCTTTAAAAATAAAAAGTTAAGTCAAAGTAGATTTACCAGTTAATTGTAACAGATGAGTGCAACTAGAAAAAGGAAAGCACACAAATAATAGTCACATGGAATTATTTTTACGTTCAGAAAATATTTTTATATTATTTATCATGGAATATCAGATGAGGAAATGTTTATCAATGTTTACCTATCCCACTGACATCTTGAAAAGATGAGGAAAATGGAACATCTCCTCCCCCCTTAAAAATTCATTATTGAATTGCAACTAACCTTTGGTAACTTCCACTTTTTTTCTATGTCCAGCCAAAGTACTATAGATTTTTCTAATAAGTTCCATATTATTAAGAAGGCTATTAAATCCATTAAAATAGGAAAAACTGACTTGATGAGAAGTAGTACCTCCAGCAGCCTAGAACAGAGCGAGTAATGAGAAAAGCAGGAAGAGAAAAAGAAGATATTAGATTGAAGTTTTTATTTCAATCATATAATTTGAATATATTTCAAGTACGGGGGAGGGCTTGTGGAAGACACCAATGGAAGTAGCAAAGGATTTTTAAAATACAAAATTTAAAAAAGACCATAATAGATTCTTAGGTTACTGAAGTTAATCATGACCAGCATACAAACTTTCCCCCCTGTTCCAGTGAAACCTAAACAAATACATATGCAGAATTATAACATAGCCAGTGATAATTTACAGAGTTCAAGTTTCAATTCTGTTGCAGTCAAAAAATATTATAGTGTGCTTTATTTCCTTTAATGAGAAAATATTAACAGTTTAAAAATGCAAATAAATGTACATTTATTAGAGTACATAATTGGGGGAACTATAAAAATAAAATGATATGATAAAAAAGATAAAGGGGGAATGTCATTGTCTTAATATTTAAGTACAGAGAATATCATGTAACATATAAACAATAATGAAACATTTCTTAAGATTTTTCAAGCTTTGCTTTTACAACTGAGTCATTGATTTAAAAGAAATCATATCTTTAAAATACATGTTTTAAAGATCCCACTTTAATAAAACATTAGGCTTCCTTGCAACTTGAATATATTTTCAGTATCTATCAGACATCCCCAACTGAATAATTCTGAAAGGTAAGGCGTCATATGTTGCTTTTCCCAAAATACAGAACAGTTATGTTTTTGTCATAAACTGAGTTAACTTTTTAAACAAGGTATGGTAATTCCAGAATAAAATGAGGCAATTTGTCTATCAGTAATAATTTTTGAAAAATTCACATTAATGAAAAGTCTTGCATACAACATAAATATAAATGTCATGCTTCTCAAAATGTAAAACTGTGGCCCAGCAAATATCATCCTCTTTCTATGAGATATAGCACTGATCAGCAGCTTCAGAATTATATAATACAAAAAGAAATGCTTGCTAAATTGAATTTTTATAAAATAAATATCCTCAGATATAAAGAGATTGCAAGCTGTATTACATATGGAATATTGCAAAAATGTATGCATTTTCTGGGGTGGCAAAGTTCTCTTTTTATTCCCCATCCCTGAAACATATATACAATTTCCAACATGAATGTACTTTACAATTAATCAGGCCATAGGCATATCCAGCAAGTTTTCAATTACTGCTTCTTCAAAGTCTCAAGAAAGCTCTTTCTTTACACTGTTACCTGAATTCCTTAAACTGGAACCACAAGGATTGAAACTTGAACTCTCATGCCTTCAAATCAAATACTCAACTACTAAGCTATGGACCTTGAACAAAAGGAATCAGGTTGAACAGGGCTATGAAAACTTCTTTAAGTCAGAGGACCGAATTCCAGTTAGATGACTTTCCTGCCACATATGGGCCAACAAATGTGAATCCTGTCCAAATCTATTTTTGTTGAAACTTAAAATGCATTTCTATGGACACGATATATAAATCAAAAGCATTAGATCCACTGGACCATGTATATCTTGTATAAATAAACAGCAAAAATCAAAGGTATAAATTTAAATAAAATTTATCAATATACACTAAAATTATTGGTCATTTAGCCTATGCTTGGCTTCAGTGGTAAATACTGATTAATAAGTATATGTAACTTTATGTTCCTTCCTTGAGAATCAGCAGTTTTTAACACCAAGACTGTTTTAATTAGATATGCCATAGAATTGAAATAAGATTCTCTAAATACTTGTTTGACTATCATACCACTTAAGGACTATGAAATGACCATTTGGCTGAATGTTTGCATTTAACTACATTATATAGTGTCTTCAAAGTGTCTTAATGAAATAACATTCATTCAATCATAAGTCCTGGGCTCCAGAACTTTCTCCTTTAATTTCTTAACCATAAAACATAGCAGATGTTTCTATGGTAATTTATATTCATTAATTATATTTAAATCAAATGCTCAACTACTAAGCTAGGAATCCAAATTCCAACTAGTTACATAATATTTCTGCCATATGTATCCAATGTGTATCCAATATATCAAGATAACCTCTTTTATATAATTTATTAAAGATATTATTATGTTTAATATCAACTCAGATTTTGAAAGCCTAAATAATTTTTGAATTAAAAAATCTCAACTCTTTGTATATAGAATTCATCTTCAAAAACCGACCATGAAGTTAATTCATAGTTGGTACTATTCTCTGCTAAAAATATATAAATTGTAACCTTTCTCAACTTAGTTGTGGGAATTGTACAGGAAGAAAACTATCAGTATAGGTTTGGTGGAAATGCCCAAGCAGTCATTACTTTTGGACAAAAGTATTTGAGAAAACTAGAAAGATCACAAAATAACTTTTGACAATAAATCCAGTCACATATTTTTTCATCCTTGTACCATCTCTTATTTTTTGACTTATATTTTTCATACGACAAAGTATTGAAATTTTTTGCTTTGATAAGTGGAAATTTTTACAGAATAGTAAAGTAAAATCTTTACAGAATAGTAAATAACTTTATGACTAAGGGCAGGTTTAATTAAATTTGGTCATTTATTTCTTAACTATTATAATGAAAGTTTCCTAACACATTAGCCTTGTTTACAGAAATACTACGATTAAAACGTGTATATTAAATTAACTACATTTTTCCTTAATCTTACAGAAAGAAAATAGTTCCAATGATTTTTAAATTTTGATTTTGTTTCATTTTTAATTTTCCTTTTTAAATTTGGTGGGGGGTTTGTCTTTGTCATTATGTTTTCTTAGTTTAATTTAAGAAGTCTTATTTTTATACTATTATACATATATAATTTATATACCAATATACAGTGTGTGTGTGTGTGTGTATGTCTGTGTGTGTATAAAAATTCAACTTATACTGGGATATTGCTATTTTAGGTTCTGACTAAAAGACACTATTAACAGAACAATTTTGTTCCTTACTCCCCCCCCCCCTCAAAAAAAAATCAAAGGAAGAACAGAAATATAATATAGATGCATTAGAAGATGGTTGCTATGTTACTACTGTAGCCCAAAGAAACTAAATGTGAAGCTGATGATATATTTTACCTTTAAAAATCTATGATAAATAGGTTTATAATAAGTTCCTTGGTAAGCACTGCCTTATTTTTAAAAGAAAATAAACCTTTTTATGTTCAAAGGTATTGAAGTATATTGCTAATGAATGTACATAATTCTTAAGTCTACATAGGTTCATTCTTGTGACGCTAAATTTTTTCAAAGAATTTTGAATTAGGGACTTTGTCACAATCTTATAAAAGCTTTTTGGGAACATTTTCCCCATCCTGTTCTGCAATTTCTGCATCTCAATCTGTATTCTGATTGATGTGTTCCTACCAGGATATAATTAATCACTCTATCATAAATGATAAGGTTGTTTCAGTATTCCACTTTTTGCTTTCCAATCTTACCAGAGTGTGTGCCTTATTGGGTAAGTTGGTATGGACATAATTTTTCAGAAACATACAACATTCTATAGAATGGCTAAATTTAATAATCTTTAAAAGGAACAGAAACACCAAAGTCTGTAATAGTATTAAGTGTGAAATGCTATGTATGCTCAGAATTCTAAGTGACAGAATGTTTAAAGAAAGAATGAGCGAGTTTGCCTTAAAATTAATAGAAAAAACAATTAATTATAAATCAAATTTTCCTAATGTAATGTTATATATATATTGTAATCTATATCTTTTTTAGACAGCATGGCCAATGAAAATGTGAATTGAAAAGCTAAGGTAAATTAGGTAAATTGGCAATTTACCTAATTAGGTAAATTAGGTAAATTGGCATTATAGGAGACATGTTAGTCTTGAGGAGCAAAAAGGATATGATGGAATTTTTTCCAAATAATATATTTTACTTAAAGCTTATGACTTTTATAAAAATTTGTAGTTGGGAAAGGTGCTATTAACTCCTTCAAAGAAACTGGCAATAAAAGAAGTATTCCACAGCCATTTTGCACCTACAAATAAAAAGCACAATGAAAGAGAGTTGCATTTACAAAATCCAGTTATGCAATCTAGAACTCCCAGAATCATAAGCACTAGTTCCCATTTAGATCATTTGACCTTTTAACTTATGAAAGATCTAAAAATGAAGGTAAACTGTCAAGCTGAAGGACATATCTTAGTTTTCTCAAAAAACTACAGCCTGATGTTCAAAGAATGGACTTTGAATCATATAAAAGGGAGAAACAGTTATTCTAACAAAGGTGTCTTCCTGATATATAGCAATAGCACTTAGACTTATATACCGCTTTATAGTGTTTTACAGCCCTCTTTAAGCGGTTTACAGAGTCAGCCTATTGCCCCTAACAATTTGGGTCCTCATTTTACCCACTTTGGAAGGATGGGAGGCTGAGTCAACCTTGACCCTGGTGGGATTCAATCTGCCAAATTGCAGTAGAAGTAGCTTGCAGTACTGCACTCTAACCACTGCACCACCGAGGCTCTATATATATGATATATGAACTTCAGTTCCCAGAATTGTCAGAGTGGTATTATTGAAATCCTGGAGGTTGAAATCCACACTTCTAAATAAAAATGCCTGGATTTTATATAGGTAGTGTTTGCTTAAGAACTATAAGTTACTCCAGAATTTTGTTTGTAAATCATTGTAGTGTTAAGTTACCATTTGACCTGATGCTATTTTATGATCATAAAAGTTACCATGTGACCTGATGCTATTTTATGATCATTTTTACAATAGTCACAAAGTGAATCAGTATTTCAGTCATTGAAGAAATCACACAGTTGTTAAGCAAGGCATGGGGTCATTAAGTAAGTCCATTCTTTCTAATGGTCATTTTACCCAAATATGATACAAATGTTATTTGATTTTGATAATTATTCAGATCTTTTTTTTAAAAAATAACACATATACACACAGTTGCTGTTAGTATAGAAGTGCACACCTGAATATCTGTCATAGACTTCCTGTTTTCCAGAATAAAAAATGGTAAAATAAACCAAAATATTATCCTAGCTCTAATCTGTTGGCAGTGCTATCTACTCTGTTCTTTGCCAAACATTGCTATAAACCACTATCCTACAGTGATCCATTTGACCAACACTTGGCTTTCAGCTCCCCAGATTCTCATTTCAACATGGTTATTGCTGAAAATTTTGGGAATTGGTTCTACATAGAAACTCCTAAATTGGGGTTTGAATATGTACAAATTTGGGGATTTGGTATTATTATAGCAAACTATTATAACTCCTTTTGAGAATCAATTGATTTTAAGAGGAGAGTACAGTTTTTTTTTAAGTAAAATATTGTGTATTTTTAATAATGCTCTTAGGAAAAGTCTGGGAAACAGATAACATGGAAATAGTTTCATGTAAAAGTTTTAAATGGTACAGTGATCTTTTTTTCTAGTAGGTTGCAAAATGTAAATGAAAGTTGTTGTTTTTTAACAATAAGCAGAAACAACTGCCAGAAAATGAAATATTACTCTTCAGTCCTATTTAAGATCAGATGTAAATCAGTTACACTTCTACAATTACTATTAATGTTAATATCTATCATATTATATCACATGTAAAACATTATGCAAAGTTTCACACAGTGCAATTTAAAAAGTAAAATATATCAAAACATGCAAAACATGTGGGAACTTCCAGCTTGCCATCCATTTTTCAAATTGGTTCCTGGTGCTGCATTAATTGCCAATCTGTGAGTAAGCAAAAAGTTAAGTCTTAGAGAAACTAACTTGCATGCATATGTGTCCCAACAGGGGAATGAATGAAATTCATTTGTTGAGACAGCACAATAATTTTACCCTGATGGTTCTAGAGGTCGTCTGATACAGCTCAAGTATGCTGGCCAAAATTCTGGACCTAAAGAAAAACACCACAGTCTTATGGGAAAGAAAACCTAACATAACTACCTAAATAGATTTATCATATATAAATTTCTATTGCATTCAAAGTCTGGATTATGAATACTTGCAAAAATTAAAGAAAGAGAAAATTAACTTTGAAATAGATATTCACTCTGTTTCTTTTTCCATATATTTGTCTCAATAGGGATGACCAAAAAAAACCCAAGGTGTCATCCATATATACTAAACAGCAGATAACTTACAGCTACTAGACATTCTTCAACAAAAGGTGTTAACATATGAGGTCGGATAGTGACCATAATATCCCTGAAGTCAATGGCTGTGACTCTTCCAGCTTGAGAATTGTCTCGTTGCACAAATGCTTGCTTTGCATGTTCCAACTGTATTTCCTATAAAACATAAAAAATAGTTAAATCTCATCTCTATCTCTGTTATTTTCTGCCTTTTCAATTTATTTTAATAAAGGATTTCACAAAAAAACAGAACATAATTCATCAATAGTCAAAAACTTCCTTTCATCTATTGCTGAATAAGCTACATCTCCTAAATAACTTGCAACATTGATTATTTCAGCTTTAGCTCTTAGGATTTTACAATTGTTCTTTAGAAGACATTTATTCCTTTATCATCTATATGTTGTGTTTAATTCTGAGAACAGCTTGAAAATCTGATCCATGCTGTAGATATTCAATCTGCCTCATAGCAGGAAGTTGTTCAAAGTTTATTAACACTTACAAAGATAGTATTTTTAGTAGGGGATTAATACAAACTGTGATTCAGAGTGGGCATGAATTTAAGTAGCACCTATTTTCAATCCCTTAAACCAAATACGTTTTTTCTAAGGAAGACACAACAGCTCCACAAGTCCAGGAAATATTACAATTTCTTTAGGAAGCTGGAACACCCATTCATGTTTTAACTTATCCCTTTCTATTCAAATCTGGATGTGGTTAAGTACTTTTATTTTCATCACAGAGCTAAACTTAATTGAAGTTACATCTTTTTATTAATACCCATGTAATGATGCTTACAATTTATTTGTCAATACAAGCCAATCTGTAGTTTTATTTTATAATAAATTAAAGCAGTTTTCATAGTATGTATCCCAAAGTCCTGTATTCCATGAGTAAAGCATCACTCACAGAATCTTCTTATATATATATATAAGCTAAATACCACTCACACATCAAAAAATTTCCAGAACTGTAAAGCCTACAAAGTTGAAATTTGGCACGTATGTTCCTCTTGGCTTCTAGGTGCTCACTAAGAAAGAATTTTTCACAATGACCATCAGAGTATTAGTATTTTGTATATTATTATTAACACGCTCTGATGCTAAGGAGTTCTACTCCACCTCCCCACCTGAAAAGAAATCTGTTCCAAATGCAAAACACAAGCAGAGGAAAGGAGTTTCAGTTTCAGTTTTAATTTCACAGCAGCAACCAGCTTTAGTACAGAACAGTTGAGCTAAGCAGCGCCCAAGCTTCTTGCTGTCTCTTTCTTACTCACACAGTAAATACTGTTTCAGTTACCTCAATTCTGTCACACACTGACAGGATGCTAGCCAGATGAATACCGATGGATGTTGGTAGGCAGAGGCAGAATTTCCCCTACTTATTTTCCTCCCCCAAAACTAAGCCCAACTACATAGTTTCATAGCGAAGCACGGGTTATCGAGCTAGTGGTGCATGTAACCAAATGCAAGCACTCATCTGAGGCTATTTTTTTTAGATTTATTGATATTTGAGAAAATCCATGAAATAAATACAGTAAAATCCACTCAGCCACGACAGAAAATAACAAAAGGTACAATATTTAGCAACCAATGCACACAAAAATTCTCATTTTCAGCATTTAAGAAGCAAGATATAATTCAACGAAGTCTAAATTAGCAAGATTTTAGCAAGATGTTCAGCACTATCTGCTTTCTGCTAAAACCAATAAATCCAGTCTGGCGGGATGATGCCCATAGGAATCAAAATATATCACTAGCACTTGTGATATCCCCATATAGATAGGGGGAGCTTAATCTTTTTTCTTTTCTTTTTAAGAATAAAAGCAAAGTGGAAATAATGTCAAAATTCAAATATTTACTATACCTCACTAGATTTTAGAATTGCTTAATCAAGCCTTTTTGAATCTTCATATGATTTTAGAACATCGTGCAATATTACCAATCCTGGTAATTCAATCTTGAGGTTGACTCAGCCTTCAATCCTTCTAAGGTCTGTAAAATGAAGGCCCAGATTGTGTGGAGACAATATGTAAATAATGCTGACATTGTAAACTACTCAGAAAGTGCTATAAAGCACTATGGGGTGGAATATAAGTCTAAGTCTACTATTATTTTATGACTTTTAAAAATATTTACAAATATATGTTTTTATAATATTCCATTCTGAGATGGTCGTTGATGATAATACTTATCAATGGGAACTAATAATATGCAACAGTGGGAATAGCTGTGCTGAGTCAAGTGAGCTCTAATCAATTAAAACATTAATTATGACTAAACTTAATTTTTCAGCCTGGATAGTGCAAAAGCTTTGTAAACTATAGCAAGAAAAAGGACAAATTTGCACTGTAGTCATCAGTAAATACATTTTGAATAAACACTTATTGTGCCTTTTAGGTACAGTATTCAGACTGTGGACATCAAAGAATGAAGCTATTTTTAAAGTCATGTAGAATTATATCACCTGCAGTTGACAGAATATTTGTCAAGCTGTTTATGTTGTTACAGAAAAGCAGTTTTCATTTTTCCCCTCTTTTCTTTTCTTAATCTTCTTTTCTTGCAATGCCAGCTTAAGCTATACTTCACTGATTTCACTTACACCTACCTTTTTGTACATGGTGGGGAACATCCCATAGCAATGGCAGAAAGTAAGATATTAGGAATAACTGATAAGGCTTCTCTGAATTTCCAATCAAATGATCCTAGCAATTATAGATAAATTTTGTGCTTTTACAATTAACCAATTAAGGGATAAGAATGTTTGTCATAAACACACATTGAAAAGGAGACATCCTTTTATCCTTTATAACCACAAAAGATTAGATGTTCAGCATTTAACACATCCAAAATTAGATTTTAAGAATCAGATAAATGAATACATTTGTATTCTGAACCATTCTGAATTTTCTAGGGGTAACAACTATCCTATCCCTCTAGAGACATCATTTGTCTTTTAAAGGGGATAAGTAAAACATCAGGTTGTTTGCCTGTAGCTAGCACTATTCGATTGATGTTGCTTATTTGTATATATATATTCTTAAGTTTTCGCGGGTATCTATATGTATGGTATTCAGCTTTGTTCGAGTATTTTCCCACGTCATTATAGTTGTGTTTTTAAAGTTGTAGCGATGTTTTGGCAGAATCTCATCTGCCATCATCAGGCTTCTGTATTGTGTTCGTCTGTGAGTCAGACTTTCACAGCCGTTTCTGTTTTAAATTTGGTGCTAGCCTACTGCTGTGTTAGAATGGTTTTTTCTTCATCCTGATTGGTTGGGAGTCTTGGTCTGTGTTTATTGGTCTTGGAGTTTGCTGTATTCTGCTTGATTGGTGTTTCTAATATCTTCTGTCTGTTTTGTAGTGTTTTGTTTTTTTTGTCTTGATTGACTGGCAACATTATGTTTCCTGTATTGGAGGCTTTTAGTGCGGCTTGGCTCCGAGTAAACGGATGGCTATCATTTATTAGGAAGCTCAGTTTTATCTGGGTGCCTGGTTGGGGTGTGTTTGAGCTGGAGGTATCGGGGGGGGGGTCTGTTTGTGCCCAGGTGTTTGCTTGGCTTGTGGTGTGGAGGTTTTTTTGGTTTGTGAGTGCAGGCTTCCAGATAATTGACAGTCTGGTGGAGTCATCTGTTCTATTCATGCTTTCAGGTCTTTTTTCAATCTCTGTGGCTTCTCTGATAATTCTGTAGCTGGGGTTTTCTATAGTGGCTAGGGTTTTGGTGCCATTGAAGTCGATGCTATGACCTGTGGCTTTCATGTGTTGGACTAGTGAGGAAGTGTGTTCCAGCTTTTTTACTGCATTTTTGTGTTCATCCAGGCGGGTACTTATTCTTCTATTGGTTAGTCCGATGTATGTGGCAGGGCATGATGCGCAGGGGACTTCATATATGCCATGGTTTTCCATGTCAATTTTATCTTTGGGGCTTCTTAGGATGGCTGCTATTTTTCTGTCTGTTTTGAAGGCAGTCTTGACGTGATGCCTGTGTAGTATTTTACTGATTTTGTCTGTAGTACCTCTTATGTAGGGCAGGACAGCTGGTCCATAGGTCTGTTCATCTTCTAGGTCTCCATTATGTCTCAGTGTGTTTTTGTGGATCAGGCCTGTGATTTTGCTTTTGTGGAAGCCGTTGACTGTCGGTACAGGGTGCATAGTTCAGTCTTTATGTGTGTCTTGTCTGCCAGGTATTTGGTTCTGGCAATTAGTGTTTTGGCCACAGAGTTTATCTGTGCTGGGGATGGTGGGATTGGGCGTTGAGGTGGCAGTTAGTGTGTGTTTTCTTCTGGCATATGGTGTGTCCTAGTGTGCCATCTGGTTTTTTTTTGTTTTTTTTGGTAGATTAGTACATCTAGGAATGGTAGTTGTTTGTTTCTGTTTCCATGGTGAATTTGACCAATAAACACAGACCAAGACTCCCAACCAATCAGGATGAAGAAAAAAACATTTTAACACAGCCGTAGGTTAGCACCAATTTTAAAACAGAAACGGCTGTGAAAGCCTGACTCACAGACGAACACAATACAGAAGCCTGATGATGGCAGATGAGATTCTGCTGAAACATTGCTACAACTTTAAAAGTACAACTATAATGACATGGAAAAATACCCGAACAAAGCTGAATACCATACATATAGATACCCACAAAAACTTAAGAAAACAAATATCAGACCTCTACGGGGAGGAAATAAACAGCCAGACCAAAACCTATGAGAAGCTGGAAGTTAAAAGAGCAGAAATACTATGTGACCTCAAATTCCTACGCAGCTGCAGAGACAACAATGCAACACCAACCAGCTTGGATCCAGAGCCCTAGCCAATGCCACCCACAAACCCAAACTATGGCTAAGATACATCAATGACACATTTGTTATTTGGCCCCATGGAAAAGAAAACCTAAACAATTTCCTAACACACGTAAACAGCACATACCCCAAAATCAAATTTGCCATGGAAACGGAAACAAACAAACAACTACCATTCCTATATGTACTAATCTACAAAAAAACAGATGGCACTCAAGGACACACCATATACCAGAAGAAAACACACACCAACCGCTACCTCAACACCCAATCCCACCACCACCCAGCACAGATAAACTCCGTGGCCAAAACACTAATTGCCAGAACAAAATGCCTGGCAGACAAGACACACATAAA